ACTCAGTTGACAAATCCGGGGACACGAACGCCAACATATATCAATGCTTAAATTTAAATGACCAAGAAAAAACTTCGCCAAATCAGAGTTGTTGACATTTTTGGAAAAGTGATATGATCGAGATGATCCAATGAATAAGTGCCTAATAATAAGCGGGGATATAATTTACACTTATTATGATGTTAATAAAATAATAAAGTCATAGCAATAACAATAAGAATAAAAAACACATGAATGAGGATGACGCCCGATAATAGTGAGAATATCAGGAAAGCTCACCTCAAGCATCTAGGGTTGCGATTGTTGACAGATAACTGGAAGCAAATAAGTGATAATCCTTTTTCTAAATACAAACCTACTGTTTTTTGATTCAGCCGAGATTGATTCGAAGCGGAGGCACGCTAAATTACTTCAACACTGATGTGACTGTATACTGCTGAGACGGCAAGAAGCACTTCAGGAGCGATCTACGTCGCTTGAATACAGTAACTCGAGACAGGTATAAGTAATTCAGAATTAATATTTTGCTCATAAAAAATAGATAATTATTAACTTAAGTATAATCATTGAATCTTATGGAGCTACGGCTCCTCTGTTCTTAGACCTTAGAGTGACACCCCTGATATAAAATTTTCAAAAAACTTTGAATGAAGGGACTTATCCGGCCGACTGGAAAGAAGCTCAAATGACACCATTGTTCAAAAAAGGCGACATGCAAGTCGCTCCGGTAACTATCGCCCGCCAGTGTGACAAGTGTTGTTTGTAAGGTAATGGAATCTGTTGTGAGGGATAGGATTATTGATCACTTGACTGTTCACCATCTCCTATCAAACTGTCAACATGGCTTTATTGCCGGTATATCCTGCACCACTAACTTTTTGTCTACTTTGAACGATTGGACTCGCCTGCTGGACGAAAGGGAGCCAGTGGATGCAGTGTACCTCGATTTAGCCAAAGCAAATGACAGTGTTCGGCATGGGAGGCTGTTGCGGAAAGTGTCATTGGGAATAGAGGGAAACGTACTCCAATGGATCAGAGATTTTCTAGTAGGTAGTCTTTTTTTTTCTTTTCAAATTTGCGGGAGCCTCTGAAGACTAGTCCAATGTGGCCCCACGACCGAGTTTTGAGTCATAGTTGTTAATCACTTTAATTAATCACTTAAATTACTTGTATTAATCACTTTAATTACTTTAATTAATCACTTTAACTACTTTAATTAATCACTTCAATTCATCACTTTAATTAATTGGCTCTCTACCAACTCATTGAAAACCCTGCCTAACTCAAGATGCCTGCACGGCTCAAACTCTCCCTAGCACCTGTTGAGGAGAACACTCCACGGCGGAGCCGTGGAACACGGCAGGGCCGTGGAACACGGCAGAGCCGCGAAAGATCTTTTGTAATAATAATCTTTATACTAAATTACGTAAAATGAACGTAATAAAAAATATATATATATATAACAAAACAGGAAGGAATCGACAGTAAGAAAAAAAAATGAAAATAATAATTCCCAACCCAGTTAGTTGCAATATCCATGCCCTGAACTGAGCCTCGCATGAGTCTGCACAAGTTACTGAAGGTCCAGCCTGGGGGGGTGGACTAGTAGTGGGTCGCCTGCCGAAGACCACAACTGCCCTGGATGTAATGGACCATCATGATTCCTGCCTTCCGGAACGTAGCCTTCAACACTTCAAGCCGTCCGTATCTAGGCCGTGGGTCGAACCAGCCCTCGGTCGAACGGCCACTTGTCGAAGGACGATAAATTTTGGAACAGAACTATGCTATCTGAAACCTAACCTCAGATGCGGTGAACGTAAAATTACGTAATTTAACGATACCAGGAAGTCAGATTCGATCCGCGGCCTGGTGGTGCACGGCAGGTGGTGGTCAAGGCCGGAAGAGGACAAAGCCGATCGAGTGGTGCACGGCTGATTGGTGGATATCCGGAGAGATCCAAGGCGTTCGATTCAAGGCTTATTGGTGCACAAAATTGGTGGTGCACGGCTGCGCTCCCCTAGTTAGGTAGTCGACAACGTATCAGTATTAACGGAACCGTATCAGACTGGGCAACAGTGTGCAGTGGCGTGCTATACGGAAATGTTCTTGTGCCGGTTTTGTTCGTTGCTTTCGTAAACAATCTGCCAGAATTAAGTAGTGTCAAGCGTGTGCTCCATGTGTGCCGACGACGTAAAAGCTTATAATACAGTTAAGGATGCGTCAAATAAAGTGTAATTGCAAGATCATCTTGATAGTTTAGTTAACTGGGCTGATACGGTGCAGCTGCGTTTTAATGCTGAAAAGTGTTAAGTACTTCACCTCGGGAAGAACAATGAACAGCAAGATTACAGCATGAGAAGATATGGTTGCAAAGAGAGAGTAATGACTGCAAAGTCTAGAGTGGGAAAAGATTTGGGAGTTTATGTCGACAAGGATCAGAAATGTTTGGGCATATTGAGACGCAAGCTAATAAATCCCACAAACTTCTTGGACTGATCAGACGCTCCTACGTCTTCCTAGGTGCAGAGGCGATGAAGCTGTTGTTTGTCGCTGTCGTGGACCCGAACCCAGAGTTTGGGAACGCTTTGTGGTCACCGAAGCTTGAAAACTGAAAATGGTAAATTTTAGTAGAGAGTGTTCAAAGACGTGCAATAAGAATAGTTACGAAGACGTGCTACTAAAAAAGATTAAAAATATTAAGTTAAGTTCTTTCTTCAGTTGAGAAGAAAGATTAAAGCTTCCGACCGTCAGTTATCGACGTCTGCGTGGTGACCTCATTTAAGTATGCATGTTTACTCAGGGTTTATACAAGGACCTTGAAGGATTACTAGAATTAGAAATAAGAACCAACACTAGGGGCCCAGGCTATTAACTAAAAACCTGGGTTGCAACTCATCGATGTGAAAACATTTCTTCTCGCTTCGAATCACAGACATGGGGAACAGCCTTCCTGATTACATCTCTGACGCTCCGAGGATGAACGTGCTCAAGAACAGACTAGATAAAGCTTTGGAGAAATATACGTTCAGACCTGAAATACCTAGAACAATATCGAACTCGGTGGAAGTCCAGTAGCTATTTCAAACTATCGTCAGTCTTGAAGAGATCCGGTCAAAAGACCTGTTTTTTTTAGATCTCCCGCGAACAAGTCACGATAAGTACACGAACCGGCGACAGGCCACATCACATCGGGCCTATTCTACAGCGCCGACATCACTAAAATATGATAACTAAAGTGTCAAGTTTCAGAGTCAAGTTTCAGCCGTGGTCGAGAGCGGACGCTCGTGTTTTGCGGTCCCAGATTTTCAACTTTTAACTTTAACTGTGCCGTTTTCGGAACTTTTTTGCATTTTTTTATGATCCGTGTCAGTGAATGACTGAATTATCAGTGAAGTCAGTAAAAGAGAGTGCAAATAGAAAAAAAACCTATAGTTAAAGTGTTTCCATCTGAAATAACGCGATCTAGAGTCAGCGAGGGCTGCAAGTAGGCCAGGCGAGGGCAACGTGCAACACTGCCCCGCCAGCGTAGAACAATAGAGCCCTTGTTTCTATGGCCAAGCTTAACTCCTCTACCCTGACACCTTTTACAGCCGCTTATTCTCAAGCCTGTAACCGAGTTTTTACAGCCCTTTGAAACTTTACAATTTTTACTTGACTTGTTTCAGTTTTAAATTGTGTTTTTTCTTTGGTTCTTGCATTTCATGATGGCTGGTCAGCGAGGAAAAAAATTAAATGAGAAGGCCTCCAGTCCTGTTAAACCGAATTCGAAGATCAAATTGCAAAATGAGCGAGGAGAAATTTGTAAATTGTGCAAGCTGGGATCGCTTAACGTCAATGACGCTACAGTGGCCTGCGATCGTCGCGGGGATACCATCTGCAACAACTGTGCAAAGTTAAGCAAGACTGACTGCTCGGTTATTCGTAAAAACAAGTCAGTACACTGGTACTGTCAGGACTGCCAACAACCTGCTCTTAGCGCTGTAAAAAGCGAAAAAATGGTGGAAGAGAAGTGCTCTTCTATGTTTTCTGTTTTTAAAGCCGAAATTGAAGAAACCAACAAGCAAGAGTTG